TGTGGAGGTCATGGACCTCATTGAGGTTTGGGGGCAGGCCCCCAATGTCCATGATCTCCACACTAGGCAGAGGAATGCAGCCGTCTATGGCCGCATAGCGGCTATCATGGCCTGAAAGGGACACATGCGCACCCAGGAGCAGGTGCGCCTGAAAGTCAAAGAGCTGCAGCAGGCGTACGCCAGGGCCACCAGGGGTGGCCCCGCAGCAGGGGCTGCCACCTGCCCCTACCTCCCCACCCTCAACCAACTCCTGGGGAGCAGGGCGGTCCATGCCAGCCTGAGAGGCAGAGAGCCAGGACCGGACGGCCCCGACCTGAGCGCACCGGAGGGGCCACCGCCAGCTGTTCCGGCACCGGAGTTGGCAGGGTCGTCCAGGGAGGCCATACCGGGTAAGTGCCAGAGCAGTCCCCTCCCCAGGGTGGAGGCAGGGAGGGAGACCAGGGACCGCGCTTGTCGGACATGCCTCCCAAGGATCACGCAGCCACCTGTACACATGCGAGCACATGCCATGCCACCCTTGGTCAGGTGGCTCCAGCTGTGTGAGACGCAGGGGCCGTGGCCCAATAGGTACATGCATGTGTGAAGACACCTGACATACTCCCAACCCCGGAGCAGGACCCAGCAGGACACTCTCCGTACACATGCCCCCTCCCTTCACATCTCCCCACCACCACAGCCACACTATACATGACACAGGGGCATGAATGCAGTCTTGGGGCAGCTCCCAGTCCCAGGGAGAGCCAGCATCCTGACCAGGGGCAGCCCATGAGTCTCGGCAAGGTAGACAGCTGCCTAGGGTGCTGCTGGCCTGGGCGCCCGATGATGACGTCACGGCCACTGACAGCTGTGTAGGCAGGGACGCCGATTGCACCGCACCGCCTAGGGTGCCAGCTGCTGCAGCCAGCCTCGGGCCACTCCTGATCCTGACCATGGCCTCTGTGCATGCATAGCGGCTCTGACGGTGCAGGGCATGGTTGCCTTCACGGCGCGGGGGGGTGGGGCTGGGCATCATCCACTGTGTCCCCAGGGAGAACTGACCACTTCTCTTCTTTCTCTACAGATGCACCAGCTGCTCGTGCAGGGTGCACCACCCCGCCCAGAACATGCTCCCACACCCGCGACCTGCTCTGGACCACCACCACGTGGCAGGAATACTAGGACCAGCACCTGGAGGCCCTGCGAGCTCTGCACTGCACCATCCAGGCCTGGATGCAGGAGGACCTGCAGCTCCGCCGGGAGCAGCCTGCGGAGGACCAAGCGAGGAACTGTTACCTGCAGGCCCTGCTGCAGAGCATGGTGCCCTGTGCCTGTCCTGCGCCTGATGCTCCCCCAACTACTGTCCCTCCTCCCACTCCTGCCCCCCCCACCTCTTCTTCCTCCACCCCCACCCCCTCCCCCTCCCCCCCC